TTTGGCCAAGCCTTCACTTGTCTTACGCTGCCAACGCATCCCACCCAAAAATTCCAGCCATATGCGAGAAGAAGAGACGGGGGGAACGGTAGTGGGCAGAGGGTTGATACCCGCAGCCCTTTACAGGGCCACTATCAGACTGCTCAATGTATCCCCGCACTGTGCAATGTAGGTCTCAAGAACATGGCTGCAGAGAGCTACCGTCTTCCCCCCAAACATAACGCATATGCATTGTATTCGACTTTTTGAAAAACTTCTTTTTCCGCCTAGAACACATATGTGTTGTATTCAAAAATAAGGGCTATTCGAATAGAACGCATGTGTGTTGTAATCGTCGCAACACATATGCGTTATGTTTGGGGGACGACGGTAGGTGGGTGTTCAGACCAGCTGTGATTCAAGAAGGACCAAAGCGAGAACCTTTGCAAGATTTACCAACAACTCCAGTCATGCCACAGTGTGAAATCACGGAGCTGCGCAGGACTATGGTTTCTCCCGGTTTTTCTCTTTCTTTCTTTCAAAACTCTAATCAGTATCGAATCTATCGATCTTGACATCTCTCTCTAACTAAGGAAAGCTCTGCGCAACAAATGCAGCATTACATGAAATCTGAGTTCCGTGTCGTCTTTCATTACATGAAATCGGATTTCGATTTCGAAGGTCGGTCTTAATCTTCCGATCCATTCTGTAAAACTCTAGTTGAGGCAATCCGATTTGCCCTTTTTTATAAATAAATAAAAGATACCCTGCATTATCTTTTTCTTTTCTTTTTTTCTGAATGCAGGAATATTCTACTCGTGCAAACCAATACACGTCAATTCCGGCGCAAAACCTGACCGGATGATTGCATATGTCTATGCATCAATTCCAGCGCGAGACCTGATGTAGAGGATGACGAGTAGAGTATTCCCCAGCGGCATCCAAACACTTAGTTTTTTCTTGCTACCGTCTTCACCCAAATAGAACGCCTGGGCATTATATTATAGCTGTATTTGGAGCAACTTTAGAGTCCAGACTCCAGATGTAGCAATAATAACCAGGTGTTCTATTCCCGTGAAGACAAAACGGTAGTGATGTCAGATTCTGGGACAGCCCTTGGCGTACGAGGATTGGGCAGGCACACAGCAGCATTGAAAATCTCAACAAAAACAACAACAACAACAACAACAACAAAAAAAAAAAAAAAAAAAAAAAAGCAAACAGACACATATAAATGACAACAGGCAGAGGGATGGGCCTGGTGTCAATGTGAGAATGGGTAGGCACTACTAGGCAGAGACAGATGGCAGCACGCAGGTAGGCAGACAAGGAGACACACAGACACGCAGGCTACCGTCTTCCCACAAATAGAACATACACTCATTAGAACTGTATTTGGGAGGAGCTTTCAGTCTATAGATACAGCGGCGATAATGACGGTGCACGTTCTATTCAGGGGAATATGGGAGATCATGCAAAGTGGATCAGAGTCGTTTGCCATACAGAAACGAGCGAGACACAGACGGTAATAGGCAGGCAAATAGGAAGGTGAAGGCAGACGAGTAGACATGTAGACGAACAGGCTGGATCTCACGAGAAAAAGGACCCAAGCAGAGCCAATATAACGCTACCAAACACGCAATACAGTACAAACGACGGTCGCTAAGTGCAAAAACACACACACAGAGATGCGCGGTGGACGGGAAGGCAAGCGGACAGACAGAGACAGGTGCCATCTTGATTGCAACAATGGTGACCAAACTATTCTCCTGATATTGCACGTGGCCACAGTGGTTAAACCACCAGTAGGCTTCCCAGCCACTTTTTCAAACTCACAGCATGCGCATGCAGCTGCAGCTGCACCTTTCGGGGCTGAACCTCTGGAGCAAAATGGCGGCCGCGGCCAGCCAAAAAAGGCAACCCACGCTGGTTCGTTGTTTTTGCCCAATGGGTTTGCAGCCCCGGCCACGGATGTACTGGTGGTTTAACTGATTGATGAATTCAGTTCTAAATTCAAATGCAAAACATATACAGAGTAGCATAGGAACATTTCCCATCAAAAAGATAGTAACTTGCACACAGAGAGAGAGAGAGAGAGAGATGGGCATCATCATCGTCCTCATCAAACATAGAGAGAGAGAGAGATGGGCGGGCATCATCATCGTTCTCATCAATCATGCAAGCCAGCCAACGCCCACCAGGCACACAGACACGGCACAATAGTGAACTCCCGCAGTCAGTCAGTCAACGCACATGGGGATCGGTCTTACTCAGGAGGAGACAGGAAGGGAGAGGCAATGACCCATCTCACATGGGTTGGAGGATATACAAACTCCCAGGCGAGGTGGGGGGAGGTATAGCTGTCGTCGTATAGCTATCGTCGTCAGCGAATCGAGGTCGCTACCGGCTCTCCCTACAAGAACGCCGGGGCATCATAACTTACGGACAATTTTCAAATTTGACAATCCCATTTCCAATTTAGGGAACGACGAAAGAGAATCGAGAGGAAAGCTTAGGTTGGTTGTACCCCCACTGATGATGCACCATTAAAAAACCGTTGATAAGCAGGACCTGAATTCGAATCCTACTGAAGTCAGAAAAAGACGACAATGAATAACTGTCCTTTGAGATATCTGTCACATTTGGAACGACACAGAGAAGTTTAGCATTGCCCCTGTGTACAAGGATGCCTCGCATTCGTATAAACAGAGAAATGGTCCTTTTTAAAAAGAAAAAAAAAGGACAAGAAAAAGAAACTATGCATTACCTGGGGCCGGGTCAGTTCGATGATGACAAGGCCGTAGCCGTTTTGAGCGGAAAAAAAAGAGAGAGAGAGAGAAACAGGAGGTTCCTATCCCGAATGAAGAGGCTCGTGAATCCGCCCAGACAATCAGATAATAACGGGGTCCTTACAATACGATCTATTTGACTGAATCTGGTCGTGATTGCGGTAAGAGGTATCCAATACAGCCACAGTCTAAGCATATATATACCCTAATCTGGCTTGGTGTGAAATGGTATTCCGTGTTTCCTCGTCGGTTGGCTGGTTGCTCGTCCCTTACAGCTGTCACTTGAAGATGCCAAGAGACTGCAGCAGCAGCTGGACACAGCATCCAGAAACATGACAAAGGTGCGCAAGCTACAGCTACGGCTCTGCAAGAGCATGTGCAAGAGGGCTCGCATACTATTTCTGACGCAGATATTCAACCGATGGAGGTACACCTTGCAGGTGAGGAGGGTCAACATTTCTTCAGTATCAAAAAAAAAAAAAATCAATTGGAGATTTCCTTCGTTGTTCCTGGGTTAAACCTTCTTACAGCAGCAGCAATCTTCCTGGACTCTCTCTCTCTCTCTCTCTCTCTCGCTCTCTCACACACACACACACACACATGGACGCACAGAGACGCACACCCCTACTCTCGGTGAGCTCTTGGTCTCTTTTCACACAGACCTCTCTCTCTCTCTCTCTCTCTCTCTCTCTCTCTCTCTCTCTCTCTCTCTCTCTCTCTCTCTCTCTCTCACACACACACACACGGACGCACACGGACGCACGCGGACGCACGCGGACGCACACGCCTACTCTCCGTGAGCTCTTGGTCTCTCTTTCTCTCTCTCCAGTTCCCGCCCCCTCCAAACCCACATTTCCGATTGCAAAGGGTCTCCGACGAAGGAAATCGAACGGGCGAATGATACCATGCGATTACGCAAAAGAAAACACATCAATACCTGTTCTAGGTCTTTTGGCTAAGATCAACCAGTTTAATATCTGATCCGTGGTCCATCGGGGCACATGATATTAAATTATTTTTTCAAGGCTGTGGAGGGGCCACAGGGGTGGCCTTGCCTACTCGCCCCTTCCAGCGTTGCCTTCGTGTTGCACTGCAGCGAAGCGTGACGCGGCCCATTCCCCCCCGGGGGAATTAAACAAAACAAAACAAAAAACAAACACATCCTATCAATTCCCCCGTTGATACTTCCCCCGGTTAAAAATAGGGAAATCCACAAAATACCCTGTGCTTAAGTTTGCGAGAAACGACATTAAGCCCAGTCATAAGGTACCTGGCCCTTGAAAATGCGCACGTGCACGAGCAGCACCAAACCCCCCACAGCGCCCACATAAGTTTGGACTTGGCTGCTTTTCTGTCTCGACAATCTGCCTGGGGGCTCGCTTTGGCCTTCAACACAAAAGTAAATTGCAAAAACACGGGAAGGAAACATTCTTCCTTTCTCTTCTGATTTGAGAACTCATAACCTTAGGGTTAAATCCTTTATCCATTCCGTGAGGCGCCAGTCCGGCTACTAGTCATCGGGGCAAGACTTGGGATCGGATATCCAAAAAAAAAAACAAAAAAAAAAACAAAGAGGGGGAGCAGCAAATACTTTACAGGTAGCAGGACGGGTATATGACTGCGGGCGACATTCTACAGCGAAAAGAGCTGCTCGCTACAGAATCCATCGCCGCCGTTGATGAGATCAATCTACGGTCATAGGCCGTTAATACTGTATAACAACACTTTTTTCGATTGCAGTCGAAAGCTGGCCTAAGAAAGTGATGCAGAATCATTTTTGTGTTTTTTCTCCTTTTGCTTTTCCAAACGTGTTTCACCTCAGCCCACTACTCAACCCCATACACACAACAGACAAAAAAATATATGGGGGTGTATCATCCCATGCTCTAGCGGAAGATTCATTCTCATTTCGCACATTTGGTGAGTAGCGGAGCAAGCCCAAAAATTACCTTCAATTAATAACTCGTTGAAGGGATCGATTCAGAAACAATAACTCATCGAAGAGATGAAGAAGAATCGAAAAAAAGCGATCGATTCCAGTTTACTGCCAGGATCAATCCATAGCCGACACGGAATAGAACTGGTGATCTCAGCCATAACAGCCCGAATCAATCCGTAGCCACACGGAACCGAACCGGTGATCTCGGTCATAGCAGAGTATAGTTAAAAATAATAATAACAATAATAATAATAAAAAAATTGAAAAAGGGATCGATGACAAGAGGATTTACGATAATCTTAAGACGTTTATTAACTTTATTTTTATTTTCCTACTTTCTCAAAAAGGCAGATTTTTCATCTTACTTATGCGAATTTGGAACACTTGCACCATCGCTCTCTCCAGTGAAGACCTTCCCTTACTTTGCTTGTCCCCGAGAGGGGTATGGATTCTTCCACTTGACTTGATTGGCGGCGAGACGTGCGACGCAAAGAGACTGCGACAGAGCGAAAACCAATCAGACGCAGTTTTACCAAGCAGGTTAAGACGGGGGGGGCGGGGGGAGTAGGGGAAAGAAAACGGACACATAGAACAGTAGTCCAAACGGAACATGAAGGCGAGGATCCATACCCTCCCTGAGAGAGAGAGCTGCTCAAGTCCAAAAAAATATTTTGCTGGAGTCTCAGGTAAAATGTACAAGTCGCGATGGAGACCGATCAGAGTCCAACCCCTGATCCTTAGATCGGTTCCGAATCATTTTCGCCTAAAACCTCAATCACAAGTTTACAGTACATTTCAGAAGAAAATTGCTCAACCAATTGCTAGGCATCTCTCTCTCTCTCTCTCTCTCCCTCTCTCTCTCTCTCTCTCTCTCTCTCTGATACACAAGCACACACGTGCTCAACCACGTGCTCTCTCTCTTACGCACAACCATGTGTTCTCACCCTCTGACGCACATAATCACCTCTCTCTCTCTCTCTCTCTCTCTCTCTCTCTCTCTCTCTCTCTCTCTCTCTCTCTCTCTCTCTCTCTCTCTCTCTCTCTCTCTCTCTACACGTGCTCAACCACGTGCTCTCTCTTACGCACAACCATGTGCTCTCACCCTCTGACGCCTCTCTCTCTCTCTCTCTCTCTCTCTCTCTCTCTCTCTCTCTCTCTCTCTCTCTCTCTCTCTCTCGCGGTCCAACTACAAACTAGAGAAAAATTGCAGCGAAGAAGACGAGGGGGGTATGATGCACCTTGACGGATCCGTCGGTGTCGATGCTTCCCAAGCAAGTCCCGTCGCCGTTCGATCGATCAAACAAGGAGGACGGCGTTGATGCATCCGTCATTCTCTGGGTTGTTGGTGACCTGCGCGTACTTACCCCAGACGACTTTGCCACCAGGAGTTACGAGACCGAGATCGCTAACATTGACCTCGATGACAGTTCCCTTCGTGATGACTCCCAATGACGTGTACATGGTTCCATTGGGGTTCTTTTTTACCCCCAATATGTCCAAATTGAAGGTGCACTTGAGCTCAGGATGAGTGACGTGGGCCTTGGTGAATCGAAGTCCCGTTGGTCTGATGAACCTTTCATACTTGGGGGGTTTTCGCGTGAAACCAGGTCCAACGAAAGTGACCTTGGTCACCATCCTCTTCCACTGCTTCGTTCTCCTCTTTCCTGACCGTAACACCTTAAACATCTCGTCCTCTGCAATCGGACGTACCTTAGGCAGAGGCACCTCCCACTTTCCCGCCTTCTCCTTACGTTTCTGTTTGATCGTGTTACTTAGAATTTTTGCTCTCGCCGTTGCCTCACGATCCAGCAAGTACGCGGGCATGGCACCCGTTGGGACAGCATCGTCGGCCTTGTGCTTGTTGTCTCTCTCTTGGTGCATGGCTATGGTCTTCTTCATAGTAGCCTTCTCCTTGTACCTCTTCTTCGCGAACAATTTCGCCTTCAGTCCAAGTACTTTCTGCGCGAAGGCGGCGCGCTTATGCACTTCGCGCGCCGCCTTCTTGCGCTTCTTCTCGAAGTAATCAAGGCGGTATCCATAGCGTTTGCGATGAAGATCGATGTAATCGCCCTGCGGCATCTTGGCAGCGGCACCGGCCGCGGCCCCCTAGGCGCCAAGAAACCCTGCAAATCCTCAGCCTCTCCTCCCCCTCTCTCTCTCTCTCTCTCTTCCTCTCTCCCTCTCTCCCTTCCCTTCGTTCACCCCTCTCCTACCTTTCTCCACACTCTACCCGGCTTGTCCGGCCGTTCCCCCAATTCTTCGACTCTTGCCTAGCCCCTCCCCTCCTGCAACTCCCGCGCGACGTGACCTCGCGTCGAATATGGCGCCGCCGCCGTGACTTATCGCCCTGCTCTCAGGTCTGTTCTGCAGCGATGGCGGCACATGAAAGAGAAGCACTGAGAGTCGGATGGAGGCGAACGAGAGCGCTCCACGCGCACAGCCTCTCTCCAATGAAGAAAGAGTGATCGTGTGGTTCAGAGAACAAATCGCATGGGGATCGCCGACGGCGCGCGAAAAGTCACAGGCGGCAGTCCCGCTCCGAGGTCGAAAATTTGGGTTTCACTACCTGACCCGCCGACCACGGTACGCCCGGCCGAAGGAGGACCGCGACGCCAGTGTGTGTCTGAGTGTACTGTACCTGCACTTTCCAGTAGGTGGCTGTTACCGCCGCGAGGGTACATTTTTATTTTTTTATTTTTTTTCGGGGCGAGGGTACATTTTGCTCGATTTATGCGTGTCGTCCTTGCGCAGGGGGCCATGCTAATATTCTCTGTATCGGTCCAATTTTAACGGATGTCCCGAAGGACTACGAGGGTACAAAAAGGTGAAACACTTCATTACGAAAAGAATACTGGCAGGTCTCGGTCTTTGCGTTAGCCAGACCCCCACTGGCGGCCCCAACCCTACACCCTTAACCACTAGGGCAAGGGGCAACATGCAATATCCCCTTCACAGTGAGAGGTAGGTATGTTTGCAGGGGTCCCCTATAGATAGCCTTAGGAGTAGGTAGGTAGTGAAAGGCAAGAAGTTGCGAGAAGAATATAGAAGGGAAAAATTCCCAAAAATATATATATCGTCACAAACAGAACTGCCTCGAAGCAGGGCCGGGGTCCCCACAATTCCACCCGGAAGTAGCCTCTGGCAGCCTTAGCCAGTTTCGCTTTAGCCATAACAAAAAAAAAGTAAACAGTAGTTCCTACACCTATCTCTATGCCTATTCCTGACTTTACTGGTTCTGAACCTACTCTACAGACTCCTGACTGCTACGACCGGGGGAAACTCAGAGGTCTCCCTCCCTACACGTCGCGTTTGCAGACTACTGTGGCTGCCGACCGGAACCGAGTGCACCTGGTTCTGCCCCTTAACCTATTCCTACCCCTTACTGATTTTTACCTGCCCTACCTTACCCCCATACTCCTACTGTCTTTCCAACCATTGTGATAGCACTAATTTATTATCTCTGATTGAGGCCAATCCACCTGGTACTGCCCATGTCTCCCGAAACCAAACTTCTCCCGCTCTCCTGTTTCCTGTCAGAACCTTCCTTCTCCAGTCTGCTTTGATCTCCGTTTTCAGAAGCATTTTGAACATCTTCTCTGTGAGTGCCTCATCCAGCTCTTGGTTCTGGAAACGCCTTTCATTTCTGTCCATCCAAATTAACCAAATCATGATGGCTCTTGCTACCTGGGCTATGTAGCCCCAACCTTTTCTGGTTGGGATGTGATCTGGCAAGAATCCATGTATAACCCAGTCCACTCCCCTGCAAGATGTGTCCCCTGACATCCGGGACCAGTGTTGAAACCACCAGTTCCATCACTTTTGTGACCTTGGACAATCCCACCAGAGGTGGGTCATTGTCTCAAAGGGCCATTTATAGCGATCGCACTCCAGGTTGACTGTCATGAGAACCAGGGAAGTTTAGGACGTAGGTGAACACATTCTTCGAACTGTGGAACTCTGGATTCCTCTAGAATCCTTCCTCCCTTGGGGTGTTGAAAGACATTTCAGGCGAGCCAGAGTTGTGACCTTGCCATAAGACTGATCCACTTCGGACCTAGGCCGGTCGCCAAAGCGGCAGGCCACTCTGAAAAGGTGCAGTTGCAGACTCGGAAGCCTTGTAGGGTTGCTTCGTCAACTTTGTACTTGGCCCAGCTATCGGCGGTGGAAAAAAATAGAGCAGAAAGGTTTCTAGTTGGATGAATTTGGGCGTGGCTGTAGTGGGTCGTATGTTTCCTAAAATTGTGGCTTGTATGCAGGCATGACTTTCAGGAGCACTGGTGATTTAAAACCACTACCTTTCATAGGCAAACTCGAACCCCCCTAAGAATGCGGTATAACCTATGATGCATTATTGGGAGGTCGGGCGCCACCAGACCAAAACAGATGGGGCGCCAGCCAAAAAAAAAAAAAAAAAACCCACTGGCGCTTCAGCAAAGTTTGGCACGCTGTTTTTTTTCCTCGGCAAAAAGGGGCTTGGAGGTAGTGATGGTTTAAACAAATAACATAATGGACTTGCAGGGCCACCAACATCGATGGTTCAAATTCAAAAACTATATATTTATTTTTTTTTCTTTTTTTAAACCATTTCTACCTTTCCCTGCTTGAAAAACAAATGTCCGCTGGTTAACACGGGGGGCTGGCAGCTTCGGAATTACCGGCGCGAAATGGTTTGTGGCGCCAGCCATAATTGAATCCGCGCCGGTTCGTTTTTCTTGGGCATGCAAGTCGATTTTAGGCTCGGCACCGATAACTGAGAAAGATACTGGTGGTTTAAACCACCACTACCCCCGACGGCTTAAATTCACCTTTCCTGGCCTTATGGACCAGGTTCTTAGGTGGGGCGACGACTAGCACGTGCAGGAGAGTCCAATCCAAGGATATTTAAGCGCCAACTTTGACGATTTTTCGCGCTCAAAAGAATTAAGCAAAAAATCTGAAAATTTGAGATCTCGTCTAGGCTACCAGCGGGGCCGCCCAGGTCACCCTATTTTCCTGGGCGGCCCAGCCATGCAAAGACTAGGGAAGGTCCCAACCTAAAAAA